AGGAACGCCTCACCTTAGCATCTAGCGTCCGACCTTCCTTCACCACTGGATAAAACCGTGACGTCTGGCTTGAGTCTTTGAGCTGCGGTGTCCGGGGAGTGCGAGGGGTCCTGGCGTTGCGATAGTTTGGCGACTCTGGGACAGTGGTTGGTAGAGAGCGGGCAATGGTGGAGGGCTCGGGGGCACCAAACAGCTTGTTGGCCAGGGCGTCAGTGGGAACTGCAGAGGCAGAGTGGGGACAGTAAGCAGAGGTAGGCCTGTGAATGCCTGTCCCTGTAAGGCCCCGTCGGACGGCGCCAGACCCTCCCACCCAGGCCAGGGTGGCAGGTGTCACCTCTCACCTTGCTGGAAGCGAGGTGGTCCAGGAGGGACCTCTTGGTTGGGATCCACAGGGGGCTCAGGGGTTAGTGTGTCAAACTGCTCCCGACTGATCATGTTGACTTTCTTGAAGTTCTCGACTTCTTGCTGCAGAGGATACGAGATTGGGGGGTGGGGGGCGGGGGGACGCTGGTAGGAAGACTGCCCTAGCCTGTTTAGGGATCAAGACATGCAGGAAGCTGAAGAGGGCAGCTCCTGCGACCACACACGTGGAATTCTGGTCCCCAGGCTCTCAGCTGCCCCGTCACTATGCCTCAACCCCAGGTACCCAGGCATGACTGTGCTAACCCAGAATAGGGGAGTACTTGCCCAGCCCTCTCTGCAGCAGCACTGAGGTCAGGACTCCGGTTCCCCAGGAACGTGCTGTAGACTCCCCCACCCCGATTCTCTTCCTGCAATTCTCTCCTCATCTCCACCAAACACACTACTACTCACAACAGAGGCTCACCAAAGGCCAACCGACCACCTCTGTAAACACCTACTATACCAGTTTTGACTGTTTCCAGGTAGCAGTGATTTTTTAAAAGACCTATCTTTCCTCCATATTTCACACTCAAAGCAAGTTCCTCAAAAGGCTTTTAAACTTTTATATATGCCTAACAGAAATGACAATCCAATCCTCATTCTATTCCTCACCAAAGTGCCTAGCCAACTTAAGACATTAAACATGGATGCTCAAGAAGCAGAGTAGCCAGCTCTTACACTGGCACAGTCTACAGTGTTCACGTCGAGCATCACCCCCTTTTGTTAGATGATGATGCTGAGGCTCTGTGCCCAAGGTCAGGTCACACGGCTTGTCAGCCTTCCCCTTCCACACGTTACAGGCACCCCAGGCCCCACCACCACTGCTATGCCCAAGACTCACCTTGATCTGGGAATACTCGGGTTCAAACTTCTCGGTCCACAGGTCCTGCTCGTAGTAGAAGAGCCCATCGTTAATGACCTTGGCCAGCTCAGCGCTCATCTTGGCACGCGAGGTGTGGTTGCCTGTGCGGTCCCCCCCCGGGTGCCGGCGCATGTAAGGTGGCGTCTGGGTGACAATGAGGATCTTGTTGACATCCCGGTCATCAATCTCATAGTCAGAGTCCTCATCAGACCAGGCGGTAAAGGTGTTCTTCCGCCCATCCATCTGCTCCATTTCCTCGTCAAACAGGAAATCCAGTTCCTCTTGCTCGTCTTGATCCTTGGACATCAGCTGCTGAGAGGGCAGCTGCTGAGGCAGAGTAGTCGGGTGGAGGAACCGGGGCTCCTCTGACTTCTAACATAGGGGCAGACCAAGGAGAAAGGGAATCACCAGGGAATCACCTTATACCAGGCCCTGTCGCTGTGCCCTGGGAGAAGCCCTGACTCCTCAACATGGGACTGTTACAACTGCGGCCCTGATAATGGCAGCAAGTCACAGCTGCCAGCCTCAGAGTCAGCCTCATGGAGGAAGGATGTCCCGTGCGAGTCCAGGTGTCTCCACTCACAGCTCACATCACAGTCATTCATAAACACCGAGATAACAACTTCCCTGCACGTAGGAACTGCACTCTCATTTACCTAAATGTGTATCCTCCACAGCACCTGGCCTGAGAGTGGGTACAAGTTCAACAGGCTGATTCATCCATTTGTCCATCCCCAACACCTCCCAATAAACTGGAAGCTTCATCAGGCAAGAACCACAGCTGCCTTGCCTTCCATCCTATCCAGTACTTAGACTGGGATCTAGCAACAGCACATGTTCAACTACTTTGATAAATGGGCAAGTACCCACTGGTACCAGGCCCTGTATGAAGATGCTAAAAGCAGAAAAAGAACAAGACCAGGTCCTTGAATTTATGGAGCTCTCAGTTTAGTGGGAGAAAAAGTCAACCAACCGACCAACTGCAGTGTGTTATGGTAAGGACTATAAATAGGCCTCGTGGGAGTACATAGGGAGTAGCACTCAACCAGCTGGGGGTGGGAGTGGGGACAGTCAGGGAAGTCTTCCCAGAAGAAGTGACTATGAAAGGATGCGCATAAGTAAGCCAGATGAAGGCAGGGACAGAGACAGTGAGAGGCAAAAAGAAAACAAACAAAAACACAGCATGTCCCAAAGGCAAGAGAAAACAAGACTGCTTTCAGCCAAAACAAAGTATTCCAGAGTGGTTGATAGGCTGAATTTATCTGAAATTTTGGAAGTAAAGCATCTGTCTACCCCATAGTATACATCTAAACGTCATTTCCCTGCCGTGCAAAGCGCTTTTCTGTATAAACTCTAACCCTATTCTCTTTTGGAAGGTTCACGATAGGTCAGGTGGGAGTGGGGGCTCGAACTCGGGAATAGGGGCTAAGCACGGCTCCACCTTTCCAAAGCCTTTGCAGTCTGCAGCACTGAACTGAACTCTGTCAGGTCCTTGTGCACTTACTACCTTACCCTCTCCTCATGACTCCAGCCTAACCTCTGACACTTTCTGGAAGACCACAGCCAGAACAGGCTGGGAAGTCAGGGTATAAACAGGAAGGGAGGAAGGAGTTGAGGGGGGTGGTCACAATGGAAAAGGGAGCACAGAATTCCATAAACCCAAAGTCCAAGGTCACCTCTGAGCCCCAGACCAAGAAGGTCTCCAAAGAAGGGATGGCAATGGGCAGGTGAATGGAGCAAAAGTCTGCTCCTGGAAAAGGGGCAGTAATTTTAGTTTGAGATTGAAACACTTCTCTAACAGGGGACTAAATGTGAGCTATTCATATATTGCTTTACTATTTCTAGAGCAGTCTAATCCCTCCCTACTTCCATCCAAAGACGGAGAAAATGAAGCCTTGAGATATTAAAGATGCGTCCCAAGGTCAGCAGCCAGCAATGACAGGAGACCTGTGTTCTAGTCTAGACTCTGTCCAGACCGTGTGTCTGCTCCCCATCCCTTCCCTCTTCAGAAGGTCTGAGGGGCTTATATATGGGACAGTGAGGACAAATTCAGGGGGAAGGCACTAAAAATGCAGCCCCAGGGATTTAGATGGGGTCAAAAGAACAGCCAAGGGACTTCCCTGGCAGCCCAGTGGTTAAGACTCCGCTTTGCCACTGCAGGGAGCATGTGTTCGACCCCTCGTTGGGGAACTAAGATCCCGCAGGCCACACGGAGTGGCCAAAACCAAAAAGAACAGGCAAGTGTTAAGAAACACTTAATACTTCATGAGACACTGCTGCCAGAGGCTGCATCATCTCCTCCTGTGAAAAATGCCATTCAGGATCTCACGGAGCTAAGGTTGTCCTGAGGGGTGATCCCCACTGGAAATGGAAACAGGCCACATCAGCCTTCCTGCAGTCCCTGGTGACCTCCAGCTCGCGTTACAACCCTGAGCCACCCAGCTTGCCTGCCAGCCCCTACAAGCCCAGAGCTCTGTGCCTTTGCAACACCCCTCCCCACACTCCAGGCCAGGCCCCTAGAACCTAGGGAGCGTGGCAGGCCTCACTCACCTTGGGCCGTGCTGGGGAGGGCCGAGGTCTTTTCTTCACTTCAATCCAGTTCTCAGAATCCAGGTCAGGGAGGCTGGCAGACAGGCCCTTGGGCAGGGTCTTCAGGTTGCTGACCTCCTCTGTTTTAGTCGGCACTGGGGTGGCAGCACGGGGAGAGCCGGGTGCCGACTCTAAAGGGTGGAAAGGGGAGATGCTCATCCCTCCAGCCCTCCTCCTGATGGCCAGAGGACAAGGGCAACAGGGAGGCATCCACATGCCAGCAGGGTACCTACCTGTCTCCTTCTGATAGTGCTGGCGGGGCACAAACTCTGGGCAGTTGAGAAGCTGGGAGAAATCAGTCTGGGAATAATCCACTATTGGGGGACCAGGAAGAGGCCATTTCTCTGGCTCCTCCCTTCGGCGGACTTTTTCATCAACGATCTCCACCACCTTGCTGTCCTTTAGGGCCTGCAGGGGAGAAAGAGGGAGAAGATGCAGAGGAAAGACACGGACAGACTGAGATCCTGGAAGCTGGTAGATGACTGAGCCCCATGAGCTCAGGGATAAGTCCAGTGCTGGCAGGAGTATAAGAAAACTGGTACCATCTCCCACGACCAGCAGATGGGTGAGATGTTCAAACTTGTAGGAGGGTACCAACATGAAAAACACACCTGCCCTTTGACCCTGCCATTCTACTTCCAGGAATCAGCCCCAGAGAAATACTTGCACAAACAGGTGACAACATGTGTAAGATCTGGATACAAGGCCATTCACAGCAACGTTGTCTGTAAAAGGAAAAAACTGGAAACTACCTACGCTTGCCACCACATAAGCAACTTAAACCAATTATGGCACATCCATTCAATGGAACACCATTCAAGCTTAAAAATCAGCTTCAAATGTGCTGAGGTGGTAAGAGTCACAAAAAAGCAGGTGTAGGTCAGTGAGTTTAAGATCCCATTGGGGGACTTCCCTGGCGGTCCAGTGGTTAAGACTTCGCCTTCCAGGGACTTCCCTGGTGGCACAGTGGTTAAGACTCCATGCTCCCAATGTAGGGCGCCCAGGTTCAATCCCTCGTCGGGGAACTAGATCCCACATGCATGTCGCAACTTAAAAGAGTTCACATGCCGCAACCAAGGAGCCCGTCTGCCTCAACTAAGGAGCCTGCCTGTCGCAACTAAGACCCAGTGCCACCAAATTAATTAATTAAAACGAAAAAAAGACTGATTTCCAATGCAGGGGGTGAGGGTTCGATCCCTGGTGGGGGAGCTAAGATCCCACATGCCTTGAGGACAAAAAACCAAAACATAAAACAGAAGCAGTATTGTAACAAATTAAATAAAGACTAAAAAAAAAAAAAAAGATCCCACTGGTGTTTGAATTTTTAAGTAAAAACATACAAATGCACACAAATTTTTCTAGGATTCACAGGTCAAGTGCTACAGGTGTTTATCTCTGGGAAAAAGGGTGAAAAATGGAGGGGGCAGAAGAGTTTCCTTTTAAAAATCTTTTAGGGGCTTCCCTGGCGGTGCAGTGGCTAAGAATCCGCCTGCCAATGCAGGGAACACGGGTTCCAGCCCTAGTCCGGGAAGATCCCACATGCCGCAGAGCAGCTAAGCCCATGCGCCACAATGACTGAGCCTGCGCTCTAGAGCCCGCGAGCCACTACTGAAGCCTGTGCGCCTACAGCTTGTGCTCCGCAACAAGAGAAGCCACCGCAACGGGAAGCCCGCGCACCGCAACTAAGAGTAGCCCCCGCTCACCGCGACTAGAGAAAGCCCGCGTGCGCAGCAACAAAGACCCAATGCAGCCAAAAATAAATAAAATAAATGAATTTATTAAAAATTAAAATTAAAAAATAAAAATCTTTTAAGTGGAAGAGGAAAACATTTTAACATGTGACAACATACTGTGTTGGTGAGGCTGGGGAAGAGGCACTCTCGTATACTGCTGGTGAGAATGCAAAAGGCACACCCACTAGAAAGGGAATCAGGTAACAGCTAGCAAAATTACATATGCATTTGCCTTTCAGTTCAACCATCCCACTTCTAGAAATCTACACCAAAGACACTGGCTAAAACATGCAACGATTATATACATATATATGCACCTGTAAATAAGAATGAGGCGTACCTTTCTTCCATTACTACGACTACTACACGGTCAGCTCCCAGATATATTAAGTGAAAGCAAAAAAAGCATGAAGAAATACACGTGCTATATGTTACCGTTCACCTAAGACAGGGGAAGTATATAATACCCACAGAGGCATTTACTTAATTTTTTTTAATAGAAAGATTCAAAAAACGTTGCTTATAGTAAAAGAAAGGGAAAAAGGTGTAAGTAAGAAAATTTTAAGTCGGGCTTCTATGAACATAGCATCTGACTTTTGGAACCACATAAATGTTTTCTATAAATGTAAAACAAATATGAAGGCGTAAGAAAGCAATGCCCAAAACGTGAAAGCAAAGCGAAGCTAATGAAACTAATATATATCAAGTTAAAGAAACAACCACAAAAAAATTATTTCAAGTTGAAAATCATCACTGACTGTATAAATAGGAAAAAAAACTTTTTACGAGTAGGAGAGGTACTATCAGTATAATGTGTATAAAGTGTAGAGTAAAACGAATAGTTATGTTGATGTTGTTAGGAGTTAGGATTTTTGGCATGGGAGAAAGTAGTAGTTACAAATAAAAGATACTTGGGGTTACGTATAGACCCTATAGAAATTTTAATAGAAAATATCAGTACAATCTCATGATGTATTTTATTAAAACAAACAAACAAAAAGCTCTAGAAACATCGACCAATCAAGTAGCAATAAACACCGCTACAACTCAAACTGTGTTATCTAAATACCAAAAATACCACTTCCCCAAAATAGAGGACCCAGAGTTCCTTAAAAAAAACGGCCAATTTCAGATCTGGGACAGGAAATGTACAAGATGAACCAGGGTCCCACTGGCCAAAGACACAACAATTTGATTCAGCATAATAACTACGATAATTTTGAAATAAACAAAATGTTCGAACCTACAAGTTTGTAATGATATTAAATGATACTAACACAAAAAAAAACAAACTCGAAACTCACTGTTCACCTTTGAAGGTTATTAGGGATCCACTCATAATTCTGAAAACTGGTTAACAAAGGAAAAGATCAAGCACTTATCTGCCCTTCCTGTACAAAGTATATACTTCTTGGTAACCAAATAGTTGATAATGCAAAGTACCTCCTTAAAGAGGTATTCCAGCTAACAAATAAAGACAGATTGACAGAATATAAACATTTTGTAGTCCCTAATGAAGTAACAGGCAGTGATCTGCAGCTTATATGGCAAAAAAGAGAACCAAGTGAAGCATTAAGTGACATCTGAGAGAATATATCACTATCTATAAAGTATTCTTGACGAGGAGGGGGGAAAAAAAAATAACCACCAAAACCTGAATCTCAACAGGCCTCTCGATAACCAATTTACAAAAAAATCTGGAGTACAGAAGAACATGTGAAATGATACCACCCTGTCCTATGGAAAATTCTACAAGATATACCACCTAGCACATTCAAAAAATAAACTGCAAGGAAAAAGAGAGGGAGAGGAGACTTAATAAGACAATAATATTGGTCTTATCTGGATCCTGATTCCCATAAACTACCAAAACATTTTTGACAAGTGGGGTGAATTTGCAACTGACCAGATATTTGGTGATATTAAAGAACTGTTAATATTTTTACATGCAATAATCACATACTGATTACTTTTTTTTTTAACAGGCCTTTATCTTTTAGACAGAGATACTGAAACACGGACGAAATGTCAGATTACCAGAGAGTTCCTTCAAAGTGATCTGGGAAAGGAAACATGAGGAGACAGATGGAATAAGACTGGCCATGAGCTGATAGATGCTGAGGCTGGGTGATGGGCTCATTATACCATTGTGTCTACTTTTGTAAATTTTCCATAATAGAGGGATGGGTGGGGGGAGGGGAGAGAGAGAGGGAGAGAGAAGGGGAAGGGGAAGGGGGAGGGGAAGGGGAAGGGGGAGGGGAAGGGGAAGGGGGAGGGGAAGGGGAAGGGGGAGGGGAAGGGGAAGGGGGAGGGGAAGGGGAAGGGGGAGGGGAAGGGGAAGGGGGAGGGGAAGGGGAAGGGGGAGGGGAAGGGGAAGGGGGAGGGGAAGGGGAAGGGGGAGGGGAAGGGGAAGGGGGAGGGGAAGGGGAAGGGGGAGGGGAAGGGGAAGGGGGAGGGGAAGGGGAAGGGGGAGGGGAAGGGGAAGGGGGAGGGGAAGGGGAAGGGGGAGGGGAAGGGGAAGGGGGAGGGGAAGGGGAAGGGGGAGGGGAAGGGGAAGGGGGAGGGGAAGGGGAAGGGGGAGGGGAAGGGGAAGGGGGAGGGGAAGGGGAAGGGGGAGGGGAAGGGGAAGGGGGAGGGGAAGGGGAAGGGGGAGGGGAAGGGGAAGGGGGAGGGGAAGGGGAAGGGGGAGGGGAAGGGGAAGGGGGAGGGGAAGGGGAAGGGAGAGAGAGGCTGGCCAAGCCTTGGAATCTTAGCGTAAGTAATGAGATGGGGACTCTTCCAGGGTTTTCTGCCTTGGCCCAAATTCCAGCTCCTTAAGTACGGACCGTTCTTTCCTCTGCACCCCAGCCCCAGGGAGGGAGACATACCGCAAAAATGAGTGAAATGTCAGTGGTAAGGGCCTGTACTCGGTGGAAGGACGCGATAAGTGTGATGGGAAGGAAACCGTCAGCATCCATTTTCCGTCGCAGGAAGAAGTCTCGCTCTAAGTTGTCCACGCTGAAGTAGTATTCGCTAGGTGGAGGGAGAAGAGCATGACTGCTTCATCACTGTGAATACGCCTGCCCTGTTCTGTGCACTCCAGGAAGCTCACACAGCCTCTGACCAACCCTGTCCCTACTGCACTCACAGTCCTAAAGGCTGAAAAGAGATGACGTCATCCTTTCATGGCTCCCTAACCTTGGGTCAAACTTCTCTCTGCCCTTCAGCCTCTCTGTACGGCTGACAAGCTCTTCATCCTCCTTTAAAACCCAGTCCCAATACTGTTGGTCACTTTCTCTTCTGTTCCTAAGCCACTTATCACACTCTTCTGCAATGATCTACTTCCTTGTATGGCTCCCCCACTGGACTGAGAAACGACATATTAGAGAGGTTAGGAGTTAAGGTTTTGCAAATCAGACAGAAATGGACTCAAATCTGTGCCTTGTCACTCACCAGTTAGGCAAGTTACGGGGCCTGTAGGCTCATCAGTAAAAAGGGGATAAAACCCAGCTCATAAAAATTAAATAGACAACTACAGGACTAAATAAGAGAATGCCTATAAAGCACAGAGCGCTGAGCCTCACCAATAATGCTAGCATTCTGAATGCTGCCATTACAAATAAAGGGATAAAGCGGAGTAGAATCTAGACATTTTCTCTCCTTTTAAAAAAATTAACCAATTTTTAAAATAGTAGTATAGTTCTCTCCAGTTACCTTTTTCAGCTCCAGCCAGAGGCAGCAACTGCTGCTAGCACCAGAAGGGCCTGCACAGCCCTACTCTACCAGGCTACCATCCTCGGGCAGCCCCCAACCCTACCCATGTCTCCAGGAGGAAGGCGCCTGTCCACTTACATCTGGCGTTTGATGTAGTCTTTAAGCAGCTCCTGGTCCACGCTGTAAAGCTCAGTGCTGCTGACATTGTCAAAGTAGTAGGTGATGTTGTTCATGTACTTGGGGGTGCGCGGTCCCTCTGCACCGTCAAACTTTCGGTAGCCAAACTGGTAGTCAAAATGGGCTAAGGGGGAAACGGGCGTCATGAGGGAGAGGAGACCCCTGCCCGCCCCCCACCGCACTCCCTCGGACATCCCGGAGCCCAAAGGGGCCTCACGTACTTCGAGTGCCACCCCGGCCGCGTCCCCGGCCGCGACCACGCCCCCGTCCACGGCCACGGAAGGAAGCCCGCGCCCCACCAGCCCCATCACTCTTCACACTCGATGTCTCATCCTGGTCGTGCCAGGCAGGCTCCGATTTGGTCTCTGGTTGCCAGGCTGGGGTGGGGGGGGCCACGGGCACGGGCACATAGGTGGCAGGCTCAGACCCTATGGGGAGAGGGGGCACCGGGTCAGGCCTGAGGAGGAGCCCCATGCCGAGGCCCTCCATAGTGGGAGGCGCATACCTTTGATCTCCCCGCGGTTGGCAGGTGTGTGTCGTGGCTCCGGTGGGCGAGTAGGGCGAGAGACCAGTTTCTCTCTGGGCACTTCAGGCTTCATGTCTATTTGCAACGGAACCCACTTGTGTTTGTTCCCTGGAGGACAGCATGGGTACAAGAAAGGCTTGAAGGAGAGGTCCCTCCTGGCCATCCCTACCCCCAATACTTCTGTCCGTGTCTGGGGTCTCAGGCCTGAATCACCATCTGGTGACCTTGGGCAAATTCCTTTCCCTCACTGGACATCATTTTCATCTCTAAAATAAGAAGGTGGTGGACTTCACTGTGATGGACACTCTTGGTTGACTCCTAATATCAACTTCTCCACCGTCAAGAGAACCCCCTCTGGAACCAGACACATGGCAGCCCAGAATCAAGACTGCACCTTCAGGCTCCCTTGGACATGTGCCGAGATTCTGCCCAGGGGAGCTGAGTGGAAGCAGTCAATTCCAGGGTGAGTCCCTAAAAGGCAGGGAGCTACTCCCCCCTCTCCCCATCCTGCTAGGTGGAGTGAGTCACCTGGAATGAGAAGAGCCAACACACAGCAAGACAAAGGCATCCAAGAGCTGCACCTGGCCTACTTCCACCCAGCTCTCAGGTGAGAGAAATAACCTTCCATCCTGGTCAAACCACTGTTCCCCTGGATGTGTATGAGAGCAGCCAAACCTGTACTCCAGCCGTTTCAGCCAGAGCAATGGGAACTCCTGTCTTTAAATGAAATCTAACATGGGACAGCGGTATCAAGACACACAAAGAACACCCTGAGGCAGAGAGCCCCGCCCCCGTCTTCTGCACTGCTAGAGCCCCAGTGCTGAGGACAGGGCTTACCAAATGCTTGTTAAAGAAAAGGAGCTGATGGACAGATAGCTGGAGTGAAAGCCTGCTGACCCAGTGGCCTACACCCATCAGCCTCCCGAGGACTTCTTGCGGGGGCTCCTGAGATGGCTCCAGCAGCCCTGGCCTTCCGACGTCTCTTGGTTCTGCCCTACCGCCTTCCCCCGAGTCCTGATCCAGTCACTCACCTTTCTTCTTCTGCCCGCCTCGCTGGCAGTCCTCATCCCCATTCTTCTCCTCCCCCGACTCATCTGATTTGGCCTTCGGGCTCTCCTTACTATCACTCCCCTCTCCCTTCTCCTGTTCCTTCATGTCCTTTTTGGGTGGCAGCTTGCGGGCAGGCTGAGACTTGTGGGACTGTGGCTGCAGCGGGAAGCAGAGCAACAGGGAGGTGATGTGAGTCTGAGAGCCTCTTGGGGTGGGAAAGAAGGGAGCTCCCTGTCACTGGAAGGACGGGGTTGAGGAGCTGGAGCATGTGACGGCAGGTTCGGCTGCATGTATTCTAAGGTCCTACTTTCACGCCTGAGATGCTTTCGCTGGGAAGAGTAGTCAAACAGGCAGGAGGTAGAGGACAACCTGTCTCTCCAGCTTCCTTAAGTCTAAATGACCGAGACAACCCCCAGGGCCGGGGCTGCAGCCTGCAACGGGCAATTGTTTTACTCCCTACAACAGGACCACATAGTTCAGGACACCTGTGGGACGGAGAAGGTGCTGGCCCCTGGTCTGTCCACACCAACCCTGTCTGTGAACTGAAGGCCAGTGCGGCCAGAGCCGGTGAGGGACCTAGCTGTCAGCCCAGAACGAAAGTGCTGGGAAGGAGAGGACTGACCAGGAGTCCATCTTCTGCTAGGGCTCAGGAAAGCTACATAAGCTTCCCCGTGACCTGTGGTCTGGAGGCGGGTACCTGGCCTGATGATCACCGACAGGCAATCCAAGTGTAGTGATGGAGAACACAGGCTTTGGAACAATACAACACACCTGACTTCTAATCCCCACTTGGCCATCAAGGTAATTAACCGCCCCCAGCCTCAGTGGCCTCATCTGTAAAATGGGAATTACTGAAGGACCTATCTAGGAGTCACTGAGGGTTAGATGAAATGATGAAAAAACAGCACTTGGCAGTCCCCGACACACAGCAAGGGTGCAAAGAATGATTCTTAGCTATCTCAATGTTGCCCATATGGTACCAACCACTCCTCTTAAAAAACAGAAAGGTAACAGCTGAGGCTCTGAAAGCTTGAGGCCAAATGTGAACATGTAGACAGAATTCAAACCTGCCCATCCCTCCCCACAGACTCACCTGCACACTCTTGTGGGCTATCTCTCCAGGTGTTGGCCAGTTGATTGCATCTCCAAAGTCACCAACCTGCAAGGCACATTCTATGAGGGTTCCAGGGTAACCCTGCCTCGACCATTCAGGCCCTCATCCAAAATACAGCTCCACCGAGAGATCAGAGGCCAAAATCAGTCTGTCCACGAGGACCATCCACAATGTAGAGACCCAGAAAAAGTGCCCCTGCTATTCAGAGAGAACCCAGAAGTACCTCGCAGTCCAGAAGCACTCACTACAACAGAAAAGAGGCTCCCACCTCGAGGAAGTCCCTGCTTGGGTTGCCAACTCCTATTTCTTACCTTGCTACCTTTGCGCTGTTTAGGAACTGCTGCCCTCACCACCCTGGCCGGAGCAGCATGTTCTGTGGGAACAAGAAGGGAGGGAGAGTTACGCAGAGCCCATGGGAGGGGCCCACAACCACCTCCTCAGCCTCATCACTACCCCACTCCACCAAACAACCTGCAGGCTCCCAAAGGAGGAAGACGCGGTGGGGACGGGAAGGACACATGCTCAAACACCTCTTTCTGCAGAAATCATGGCAAGTGCGATCATGGAAGCAGCAAGCAGCCGAAACCCCAAGAACTCAACTCGGAGGACCCTCACAGCTCTATACCCTCTTGTGAAAAAGGGAACTGAGTCCATGCCAGGGTTTGCTCTGTAATTCAGGGCTCCCGAATCGACCCAGATTCCATAAAGGGATCTGAAAGACCCTCTCTGGCTCTAACATTCTAGAAGTCTGTGTGTGAGCAGACTTAGGAAGGCAAGATACAAACCCTAAGTGGGCAATCCAAGGACCTCTTCTAAGCCCCACATGTCAGGGCCAGCCCTGTCCTCAGTGACCTGTGGTCAACAGAAGAGTGAGCCATTCAGAGAAGATGTGCCTGCCTTCCAAGTTTCTAAAGAAAAAGTGAGACCCCCATTTGACTCAATGGTTCCACCTTTAGGGATTTATCCTAATGATACAAATTAGACAAGTGTTTAGGGTTATGTGCAAAGATGTTGAAAGGGCTATTCATAATTTCAAAAAAACTGAAAACAATACATGTCCAATAGCAGGGAACTGGCTAAATAAAAGTTCAGCAACTTTTAGAATGGTCATAAAAAGATAATGATCTCTACTGACATGAAAAGATAAACACAATAAATGAGAAAAATTATAACCCTATTTCTGCAAAGTAAATAAAAAACGTATACGTACACATACACACAGTAGAAACTCTAGAAGGAGATATAACCGAGTATTACCAGGAGTTAAGTAGTATGTTTACAGTGATTTAATTTTGTTTGGGGTTCTCCAGTAGTTTCAACAAGGGCAGACGGGGATTTTTATTTTTTTATTTTTTTGGCTGCACTGCATAGCATGCAGGATCTTAGTTCCCCAGCCAGGGATCAAACCCACGCCGCCTATAGTGGAAGTGCGGAGTCTTAATCACTGGACTGCCAGAGAAGTCCAGGGGCTTTTTAAAAAGAAAAAAAAAAAATTTTTTTAAGTAGTGGCTCTAGTAGGTCTGATCCTTCCTACACCTACACTTATTTTTCCAACTTGGCTCTGAAGACCAAGAGTTTCTGAACCCTTCCTCCCCTAGAGATCCACGGGAAAAGATACATATCCTGGGGCTCTGCTCACCCACTGCTCGACCGTCACTTTGCCTCCATTGTTGGCCAGCCATGCCAGGGGTCAGGAGCTGCCCCCAGTCCCTGAGCAGAGAAATGTGTCCGGCTGGTCTCAAAAGGAATGTTCTATGCCTTGATCAGACGCATGTTCCCTTAACGAGCAGAGAGAGTCCCTTGCCTGACTCCTAACTGTGAGGCCACTGCATTCTTGGCTTCTACCCCATACCGGAGCCACTGCCCCCTCAAGACACCCCACATGCCACAGGAGAGCTGGGGCTCTGTAACCCAACCCACAGCATCCCCCATTCCCAGTGCTGGGCAGTGGAGAACCAGAAAACCCCTCTCAGTCCCAAGAGGATGAAGCCCTTAGGCCCAGAGAACTACTTACTCCACACTGATTTTCTTGCTAATTCTGGTTTGGCCCAGAGAAGGCTAATACCACCTAGTTCCCTGACTAGGAGCAGCAGGGGCAGCCACGAGAAGATCACCTCCCTCAGCTACACACGAGCTGTGACAGGAGTCACTTCCGCAGGGACCCAGCCTCCACACTCCAAAAGCACTGCCTGCATGCTGCCAGAACGAGAGCACGCCCAAAGGCCTGCAACATCAACTTCATCAACACAAAGCTGGAAAGGGGGATCAGTCAGAGGGCCAGGTGTTCCTGAAAACTACTGGAAAAGGTTTAAGGCAAAGTTTTTCAGGTCACTGTCTATTTCCTCTAATAAAAACCCTTTCAAAATTGGGAGGAACCAGATCCTGTAATCACCCTGCCTGACATTCTGTTCACCAAGATCCCAAAGGGACGTGGTAAAGTACTAAAAGTTCAGTCTCCAATTAATGGGAGCGCTAAACTGCCACTGAAAGAGCCCACTGATTCCCTACTCCCCCACAATCTCAAGCTGACCAGGGGAACGTGACAACACGGGGGTTAAGGGCACCCACCGCCGACAGAGTCGAAAAATCCAATCGCACATCATATGGTGCTGCTTTTACTATTGAAAAAAACCACATATAAGTGGACCCACACAGTTCAAACCTGTGTTGTTCAAAGGTCAACTATATTTTCTATACTGCTTGTTCCAGAAAGATCCTAAAGCTTATCTTTTGGGAAAAAAAGCTACCTAGAAGAGCCAGATCTAGGAGGTCTAAGGAGCGGGAAACTAGGAGAGGTTTAGGGGGAGAAGGCACGTGGGCAAGTCAAACTCATCGGGTTGTGGTAAAAAGAACTGGTAAGCGGAAAGGAAAAGCTGGAAATGAAACAGGGATGAGTGTAGGTGAAGTGAGATGGGGCCGGGTAAGATGGGAAAAGGCCTGCAGGATGCGGCTGGCCAGAGGGAACTACTAGATTTCAGGCCTTAGTGCCAGGAGCACAGGCGAAGGCCAAATATTTATTGTGGGGCTGGCATCATCTCCTAGAGATGAGTAAAGTATCTAAAAAGACTGAATTTACCCTGATTGCAAAGAACTTCTACCTTGGGGAACAAGGTAATTTGTAGGGGCTTAGGGGCTGCATTACTGGAGTTCATACCCACTTGCTGCCATATACCTGGCCATTAGGTCGACCCCCTCGGAGGAGTCCAACCAGATCCTAGGCGAAGTGCCCTGGCTCTGCGCTCTCACTGCTTTGTGTTAGGTGCCCGGTTACTTATCTACCATTCAGCCCACCCCACCCCTTAAGAGCAAGTACCAGGGTGCTTTCACAACAGTGATCCCAGAGTCTAGCTCAGGGCCTAGCAACACGGCTGACGTTTGTTTAACGAACAGAGAGTTCACACACCCATCTCCTCTAGGATTTCACACTAGAGAAGAAAAGAAGCTTTGCTTTCCAAGTGCTTGTTCCTGAGTCTATGGCCTTAACCCTCAGCCGGAGCCTTCCCCGCCGGCAGAGAAACAAGTATCCTAGGCACTGCTGGATCCCAGGGGAACCCACACGCCAGCCCTGCCTTGACTCCAGAGGCAACTGATCACCTGAAATCAGTCTTGGGTCCTAGTCCAGACTCCAATACTCACCAGTTGTAAAACCTTGGAGACACTACATACCACCCCCTTCCTGGGGCCTCCCTCACCTTCCTCAACTGAACAAAGGGAATTCTCATCTAGAGGCAGAGGGAAGAAAAGGTGAGATCTCAACCAATGAGACTTCTCATGAAAGCAGAAGAGATGCTAGCAACAAGCCGTGGTCATAATATTAACGGAGTGAGCACTTACTAGATGCCATGCACTGTTCTAATGCTGAGTTAGTTTCTCTAATTGGTCTCATTTTACAAATGGGAAAACCAAGGTACATGGTGGAAAGGTTACTTACCAAGATCACAGCTAGCAAGCAACAGAACAGGATTTGAAGCTAAGCAATCAGACTCTAAAT